TACACAGTGTCCGGATTGTTCCCGAATTTCCGCTGTAACTTGCAAGCTCGCGCACTCCTACTACCTTTGGGATATCGTTGCGTCATGTTTTTTTGGGGGGATAGGGGATACTAGAATCTTTTCACGTAGCTGTTTAGCCATGAACTTCAGCTTCTCTCTCGCATACTGAGGACGAGCTGGGTAACCTACACGGCATAGCAATTTTTTCCTAGTAGTGGTTAAGGTAAGCCTATCCCGTTGAGAAATGAGCACCGCTGCGCTCCTCCTAATGATTGTGTATATCGAGGGCTTCGAGACGTTCTGCGGATGTTCCGAGTGGTAGGCCGAGAGCCGCCTTGTACGATGTTCATATCAACGGATCTAGCGCCTTTAAATCGGTTTTATTGATCTCCTGGAAAGGAAGGCTATATGTTAACCTACTGAGGACAAAAGCCTGAACCAGCCGGAGTGTCTCGGCTTCCTTGAAACCTTTTCGGTGATAGGTGATTCTATAAATCATACGGGAGATCAGCTTCACCGTTGTTCTGATAGTTTTGATTGTGTGGTCCACTCTCTTGTTGCTTTGTAGCCACAGTCCAAGGACTCGCATTTTCTGTACCTCTTGTGGTCTCCTAAAGAGAGGTTGACCGGCCTGTGAATGCAGTGGCCTCTGCCTCGGATTCTAATAAATTCACATTTATTGGGAGCACAGGTCATTCCGCTGTGATAAGGGAAGTCGTCAACAGCGGTCACTGCATCTTGGAGGATTTGCTCTTTTTGCCCCAAAGAGCCACTGTTGGCTCATAGGGTAATATTATCCGCATAGAGTGCGAACCTTAGCCCTGAAAGGCCGTCTAGTCTTCTTGTTGAGTGTGTCATGCTGATGTTGAAGAGAAGAGGGGATAGTATCACCCCTTGTGGTGTGCCTGTATTGGGCATAGGAAACGGGTTTGAGCGTGTGTTGCCTAGGCCTATTGTAGCAGTGCGAGGGGTTAGGAAAGAGCAAACGTAGTCATATATCTTTTGCCCACAACTAATGTCATTTAGCTCGGATAAGATGAGCTCATGGGACAGTGTCAAATGTGCTTTTCAAATCAAGAGCTACGGCGAGATGTTCTGCACCAACTGGTGCGAGAGGTTAGGAAAGAGCAATCGTAGTCATATATCTTTTGCCCACAACTGATGTCATTTAGCTCAGATAAGATGAGCTCATGAGTGATAGTGTCAAATACACTTTTCAAATCAAGAGCTATGAGGAGATGTTCTGCACCAACCGTGGTATTGCAGAGTACCTCTTCCCGTAATAGAAGGAAGACATCCTGCGTTGACAAATGTTGGTGAAATTCAAACATGCTAGTTGAAAAAGTTTCCGATCTTCAATGTAAGTCGTGAGACGTATGTGAATCACCTTTTTGAATAATTTGCTAAGACAGGATGTTAACGATATTGGTCTTAGATTTTGTAGGTCGGCTATTTTTTCTGGCTTTAGAATTAGAATAATTTTGGCTTCCTTTCAATGTTGTTGAACCACGCCCTTCTCCCATACCTGTTCATTAAAATACTGATTAAGCTGTTCCAGGTGTTCATCGCTCAGATCTTGAATCATCACGTTTGTTAGCTGGTTAGGTCCAGGGGCAGTATTGTGCTTTGTTGCTTGTGCGGCCGTGAATAGTTCTGCCTTGGTGATCGGTGCGTAGAGCACTGCATTTTTCTGGCCTTGGTATGCTAAAGTGCACGGGGTGTGGTGATCGCGCCTATGTACTTGTCTCGGAGCTTAGTGAGGAGGGCATCATCTGTTCCTGGAAATTCCCTGGTGAGCTTCTTGAGAGTTCGGCTTGCTGCCGTTTTGGTTTTACCAGATTTCATTATGCTGCGAAGTATTGCCCATGCCTTGGAGGTGTGTAAGGTTTCTCGGAGTGAGTCACAAAAATTTGCCCAGCTCACAGTCTTCAACTGCTGCGCGTAAGCGTTTGCCTGCTCAGATATCTCAGCGATTCTATGGCGCAATTTTCTATTGAGCCCCTGTTGTTTCTATCGCTTGGTCAACCCTCTCCTAGATTCCCACATATGCATCAAATGGCTATCGACTACCGGGATTTCTGCTGTGAGGGCCACCCACTTAGAAGTTGCTTTGTGAGCCTCTCATATGTGGGTTGCCCAATCTTCAGCGTTATTCGCTAAAATTTCGGGCAGTGGGCCTTTACGATAAGTTACGCAATCTATTAATACAACATGGCCATGAGATTGTCGAATTTTGGTAGAGGCTATCGACCCGCTCAAGATATAATGGTCACTGCCGAGATTCTCTTCTAGGTTGCTGCAAAACACCTCAACAACATTTATGAATGCAAGATCAAGAAATGTGCCTGCGCCGACGCTGTTACCCAATCTTGTCGGGTGTTGCGGGAGTACGAGAAGTTGGAGCTCATGAGCATCAAGAACTCGCTCGAGTTCCCGGCCTTTCGGGGTATCTGTTCGGTACCCCCTGGTAGTGTGAGGGGCATTGAAGTCCCCGAGAAGCAGTAGTCGATCCTAGATGCTGGAATTACTCTTGGCATACTGAATGAGTGCGTCAAAATCGGCCCTCTTTTCTTTAGGGGAGCTATACACGTTCGTGATTATGGTTTTGCATTTGCTACGCTTGTGCGGTAATATACTTATGATTTCGTGGTTAATGCTGCTAGTTACCAGATAATCTATACTAGTCACTATTTCCTTAAGAACCAACGTGGCGACTTTAGGGTAGTCTGGATTTGATATCGTGTAGTAGCCACTCCATTTGACTGACTTATTACCAATCTCTTGTAGACAAATGACATCAGGTTTGACTGGCGCCGTCTTAAGAAATTGTTATAGAGGGGTTGCCCGTTTGTGGAAGGTGCGGCAATTTCATTGCCAAATTTCGAGATATTCAGTGTGCGTTCGTGTTTTACTTGCCATGGATAGTGCTATCGCTGCCCGAGGCTGGGAGTCGTTTCGAACGACGTATAGACGAAGCACTCGGGCTGCTTCTAGGTCGTTTAAGAACAGCTGGCGATCAATCTATCGCCTTATGCTGGCGATAGATTCATCAGCATAACTTTTTAGGTTCTGGAATTCGGCAAACATTTGCTGCTGAAAGCTTTGCATGCTTTTCAGTTGCTGCATTACTTGTTGTAATGTACCTTTCATAGAATTTGGCTCTATCATAAACATGGCCAGTTGTACCGGTTGCTTTAGAAATTGTTTTTTGACTCGATTCCTTACCGCGGTTAGCTCCAAGGCTTTTTCAGACACTTCTCTGTTCATATTCCACTCTGTACACAGGAAAACTCCCTGTCCAGAAAGAACTCAGTCGTCCACACTATGAAAAAGTCAGGAAAGCCCATCTTTTTCATCCTTTCTAGTAAAATAGCGTATTTGACACTATCGTAGGCTTAGATATCTAATGTAAGTAATGCTGCATACTGTTTCTGTCACCGTGCTAGCTTGATTCTGCTCTCCAAATAAACGTGTGCACACCAGATAGACATTTCAGTTCTAAAACCATTTATACAGAGACTTAATCATCTATTAACAGTAAAAAATTTGAGTGTGTAATCTTAGTCAATTTTACAAAATTCAGTGTTAACGAAGTCGATCAAATTTTGTCCAGTGCAGACCTTTTGCTCTTATCTTTAAGCAGATGGATAAATTTCACTACTTTCCACACTGAAGAGCTCCAAGAGTGTTTTACAGAATAATTTACGGTATCCAATAACACACTGGGAGCAATATCCAAGAAGATTTTCAGCATCTTCATAGTGATACCATCAGGGCCTCGTGCTGCCGCTGGTACACATGCTGCGACTGAAGAGAGGTTCGACAATGACATGTCATCAGAATTTTCGAGTGTTTTGTCTCACAGGACTTGAAGGAATGCAGGTGTAAAACCTAGCCTCCAAACTTTTGGCAATTACACCTAGTGAGTCAGTAAAAGGGAGTACTTGACCCTGCTCTTTCTCCTCTTCTTCTCCTCCCTTTCATTTGTACATCATTCGTACGCCTAAGTAAGCTGCCATAAGCTCTGGCTATGTCGAGAGTTACTAACGCAGCTTAATGTCTTCCTTTCCTTACAAGCTGTATTCAACTTTTTAAATTAGCGTGGGCCTACCAAATGGAGCATTTGCTATGAAAACCTGTTTGGTTTAGTTTAGATTATTTGCCATGCAGACGTTTATTCGGTCATTTAGGACCATCTTTATGATTTAGACCAATTTTAGATGTTAGTAAGATGAGTCTGATATTTTCTATGTTAAAACCAGGTCCTTGCTTTTTTAGTAATGAAATTTACTTTGCTATTTTTCAGTCATGTGGTATCCAAGCATTGTTTAAAGAGTAGTTTATAAGATTACATTATCTGCTTCGTCTATCTCGTCTTTAACGTTCCCTAGCACACGCCCATGCCCGAGCGTCGCTACATGTATATTACATGGTGGTAGAATTTGTAAATATTTCTTCGAAATAATAAAAAAATGTTTAGCATTCTAGGCCTCAGTTGAAAATTGTTGCCTTGCTATTTGAAAACTATTCGAATAGTATGCGATTCATATTCGTAATCTATTTGTATTTGGTTCCATCTGGAACTTCATTATTCTCACTTCCGTTCTTCACAGAACCAACTGCAATATAAAAATGAAAATTCAGACTTGGCTGTTAAAGCAGAAAGAAAAATGCACACGCTGTGATTACGCCAAGACGGCTTGTAGCGTTTGTTACAAAGGTGACGTTTCAAAACTCTATGGTGCTTTATCTGTGGTAGTGATGTCAAAGGAATCCTAGTTTTCTGGGCATTATGATGCACAGTAATATGCATGTCTATGTATTGGCTTCGAGAAATGAAAATGTACACTCTGCCCTCTATCCCATTCCCCTTCTTCCGGCTTGTGTGGAAAATTTTGACTTCAGATATATGAACCAACTAGTTTGCAATGAAGTATTGCTTCAATAATAAATCCTTTATTAAATGCTTTGTTAAAGGAACGATGATGGTTGTTTCACAGATATCGGTACTACGTGATTCACAAGCTCCGGCAACTCAAGTTCTTGGACTCTCGTGCTGTGACCAGCGTCGAAAGGGCCGAGGCAATGCGCGTGGGCGCCTTCATGCGGGTCGCGCGACCACCGCTGCACTTCGCAGGGTTGGCGCCATGGGCCGACTCCGACGACGAAAGGGATGCTTACACGCCGCTGCCCCTCACACCGGGCGTCGGCCATCAGCACAAGACCGTCTACGGAATGCTCAAGTACAAGTACACTGGCAAGCACTCCGAGGGGAACCGCTTCATTCGCAACGATGAGCTCTGATGCAGCTGAACTGGCGAAGAGCTGCACATCGGAGGCAGGTCAGCTTCATGCGCTTGTCTTTCTGTGTTGTCAAGACCACATCAAGTGGCCCAAAGAGTGTGAACGGTTGCAGGACTGCGATATGTGAAATTTTTGGCGATTTTTTACAATCCTGTAGTAGTGGCACGCGATACCAGAATTTGGTACTCGGTGAACATTTCGCCTGGAGGCGTCAATAATAGGTAGAATCATAGACTGTGGCCAGTGTCATATCTGTTTCTAAAGGAAATGTTCGCAAGCTAAAGGCGTGACTTATCGGATTTGTTGGCTTGGTACAGTTTACTGTAGAAGAAATATGGGAGTGCGGGCCTGTGAGTGCTAACTACTGGTGATATTTTGAAATGCGGTGCATGCACACAGTTTAATCAAGGTGGTGCGTGCCCTGCGTCGTATCTGCCCATGCATTCAGCATGCGTTACCGCTCTTATCGTTTCCACTGATACTAAGTTTTTATTAGGCCGATATTTCGTGGTTGCGAGCTTAGCTGCATCACACTTCAATTCTTATCTGTTCTCAAAAGGTTGCAGCAAGCAGTATGTGAAAATGCCAGGAACTGCAGCAATAAATAATACCATACATCTTTTTTTTATGCTTGCTGGAAATCCACAGAGAAGCTAGCAGACAGAGTGACAGCTAGATAAATTACACCACAAAAATATGAAAGCGCTCTCTAACGCTTGAATGTCTACGGCGGCTGCATTTCTGATGGAAGCGGAAATGTTGCAGGCCCGTGTGCTCATATTTAGGCGCACGTTAAAGAACCCCAGGTGGTCGAAATTTCTGGAGCCTTCCACTACGGCGTCCCTCATAATCATATGGTCGTTTTGGGACGTTAAACCCCACATATCAATCAGTCAACGCTTGAATATGCACAGAAGAAGTAGCAGACGAAAACGAAACTGTGCACGTCGCCCTAACCATTCTATGCCCATGCGCCGCATTTACAAATTTCGCCACCAGTTAGCGCCGCGCGCCTCCGGCCTAGAGTTATTGTATATGCTTCTTACGGGAGCAGAGTAGCACATAGGTCCGCCATCTTGCCTAGTTAGCAACCACAGTTGTTAGTGAATCGATACAGAGAGAACACAATTTGGAGATTAAACGACAATGAAGGACAGTATCGAGAGCTTCGGCGAAGTTGAAAAAGAGGCAATCGATTAGATCGTTACTGTTTATATTAAAGTGAAGGTCAGTGGCGAATTCGAATAACTGAGTGTCACATGAATAGCTTTTTCTGAAGCCATGCTGATTAGGGGGAAAAAGTTATTCGATTTAAGGTGATCATGAATATTTGAAGCTATATTGTATTCAATTAGTTCGCAGGATATGCATGTAAGTGAAATGGGTTGGTAATTACAGGGTGAGTGCTGTCGCCACCCTCTAATACAGGGACTACCTTGCCAATCTTCCAGTCTTTAGGTAACTCACTGGATGACAGAGATTGGTTAAAAGTGCACGTGCCAACTTTAGGGAGGTTTACAGTAACTCTAAATGCGAGGTTTAACATAATTAACTGCTTCGAAACAACAAAAACAACAACAATAATACCTCCATGGTGCACAGCTAACTGTAGCACGTTTTTCAATGTATTTGATCACAGAGCTAATCCTGTTCGCGGCAAGAGGAGTTTAAAATTTTAGTTTGAATTTCTAACGAGGCATTAGGAGTTTCTTTCTGGGAGACCCATAGGCATATCTGCCGGAATGGCAAGGGGGGCACAAGCTCCCCCTTCACAAAAAGTTGGGAGCTCAGTAACGTATGCTGTCGAGCTAGTTGGTGTGCAACTGTGCAGAACATCGTTGGCGCAAACTTAAAAGACGTCGAAAGAAGAGACTTGGAAAAGCGCACACTCGTAACTGACTTTTATTGAACTGAAGCTCGTCTTATAAAACCCTCACGCATGCGTACAACCACAAGAAGAGACCAACCAACTATAATCACAATCTATCAGATAGAAAATCAAACTCATTATCATACATTGACAGAGATGTAACACTGATACATTGTTCGCCAAATTGTCTAATAAATATCGCCTCTGCCAGTTCACGTGCCACTTTGTCTTTGCTTCTTAGCAATGTTCTCGTATGGTGCAGTAGCGGTTCACATGAGCATTCCTTACAATTATGCGGCAAATGCGAACCCGTGCCATTTCTAATTGACAGTGCATGTTTCCTTAAGCGATCGTTTATACAACGACCCGACTGGCCAATGTACACCTTGCCACAATTGAGCAGGATCAAGTAGACAATGCCTACCAAACAATTCAAAAACTTCCTTTCGTGCTTCTTTAAACAATGAGCACTTGGTACGCCACACGAACGAGCACAAATGCGCGAAAGCCTCTGAGGTGCCGAGAACACCACAGGGACCTCAAAACGAGAGGTGACGTGCTTCAATGAATGAGCCACTCTATGCACATACGGAATGACAACAGGTCGCTTCTTCTGTGTTTTTTCCGTTGTGCCAGAATCGTGGGTGGCGTTATGTTGATTTTTTTTAACTAAAGCTTCGCACACTGTCGTTAACACCAACAAAGGAAAACCCGCAAACACGAGCCTGGTTATTTGCTCCCTGAAACTTTCATCATGAACGGGCTGGCAAGACCTAGTTAGAGCCAACTGAAAGCTCGTACTAGCAATGGCCCTTTTTACTACTTTAGAATGAGCGAAATGATACGGCAAAAAAGCCATCTGAGCACGAGAATGATACATCGAACACACATGGTTTTTGTCAAGCCTGAGTTGATCTAAAAACTGCAATTCATCATTGACATGAAGCTCATGTGTAAACTTGAGCCCTTGTCCAAATGCTCTAAACTTATATAAAACAAAAGTGACACATGCAGAGTAGTGCTCATTTGACTCCTTTTTCAAAAGAACAAAAAAATCGTCGACGTATCTAAAAACGCGTAACACCTCGTCTCTAAACAAAACAGAGTCAAGATGTCGGTCAATCTGAGCGAGGAAGATATTACACAGCACAGGCGCTACACCCGAATCAATACAAATACCTTCATATTTGCAAGGTGTTTCAGCGCGCGAACAAAGGAAAAAAGGACAGGGTAGACAGAAAGAGCGCTGACTTCCAACTAACTTTATTTCGCAGAGTGGCAAGAATTTATACGTCTAAAAAGGAAGATTACACAGCATAAATGTAAAAAACAAGCCCAATCTACACACCAGTAACAGCACGTGTGACAGGTCCTCTAATGCCTCAAAGCCCAGCCAGGTAATCGCGTTCAGCCTGGGATAAAGCAACCGATGAAGTGCTTACGCATTTATTTCCTAGCACGTGTATTCTTTCTGCTTCGATAATTTCTCGGGTAAGTTGCTCCCTGTGCCTTGCCAATATAGAGCACTGATCAAAGAGGGGGGTGCACCCACAATCTCGGCAATGAATGCCAAGATGCCCTTGTACCACATTGTGCACATTGTTTCTGTGTTCTCGCAGGCGGTCGTTTATGCACCTGCCGGTTTGGCCGACATAGACGCACCCACACGTCAGTGGAATTAAGTATACGACTCCCACTGCGCATGGGACGTAGCATGTCCTGTGCGCGACAGAGCACGTGGCAGAAGTTGCGCGAGGTGTATTTACACGTTTGCAAAGCTTCTGCAATTTTTCAGGTGCTGAAAAAACAACAAGAACGTTGGCGTCTCGAGCAATCTTTTTCAGCCTGTGTGAGATGTCGTGCACGTACGGTAGTACGACAGGCCGGCTCTTACTGACGCTGTTGCGCTTATCTGGTTTGTTGCCTCGCTTCACGACAGTGACCAGCTTTTCCGCCACTGAAACTAGAACGTGTGCGGGGTAACCGGCTTTGCTGAGGCGCTCCACTTGTAGAGCAAAGCTGCGGTGTACCATGTGGGGGCAAGACTTCTTTAAGGCGTTGGCAAGGCAGAGGTTAGCAATGCCCCGCTTGACCAATTTTGAGTGAGCTGAGTACACCGCAGCTTTGGTGAGCTGGGTACACCGCAGCTTTGCTCTACAAGTGGAGCGCCTCAGCAAAGCCGGTTACCCCGCACACGTTCTAGTTTCAGTGGCGGAAAAGCTGGTCACTGTCGTGAAGCGAGGCAACAAACCAGATAAGCGCAACAGCGTCAGTAAGAGCCGGCCTGTCGTACTACCGTACGTGCACGACATCTCACACAGGCTGAAAAAGATTGCTCGAGACGCCAACGTTCTTGTTGTTTTTTCAGCACCTGAAAAATTGCAGAAGCTTTGCAAACGTGTAAATACACCTCGCGCAACTTCTGCCGCGTGCTCTGTCGCGCACAGGACATGCTACGTCCCATGCGCAGTGGGAGTCGTATACTTAATTCCACTGACGTGTGGGTGCGTCTATGTCGGCCAAACCGGCAGGTGCATAAACGACCGCCTGTGAGAACACAGAAACAATGTGCACAATGTGGTACAAGGGCATCTTGGCATTCATTGCCGAGATTGTGGGTGCACCCCCCTCTTTGATCAGTGCTCTATATTGGCAAGGCACAGGGAGCAACTTACCCGAGAAATTATCGAAGCAGAAAGAATACACGTGCTAGGAAATAAATGCGTAAGCACTTCATCGGTTGCTTTATCCCAGGCTGAACGCGATTACCTGGCTGGGCTTTGAGGCATTAGAGGACCTGTCACACGTGCTGTTACTGGTGTGTAGATTGGGCTTGTTTTTTACATTTATGCTCTGTAATCTTCCTTTTTAGACGTATAAATTCTTGCCACTCTGCGAAATAAAGTTAGTTGGAAGTCAGCGCTCTTTCTGTCTACCCTGTCCTTTTTTCCTTTGTTCGTGCACTGAAACACCTTGCAAATATGAATACGCACCAACTAGCCCAAGCTTCCACTCTTGTGAGTGACAAATACCTTCCTTTTGTACAAACAACTTGTCTTCAAATGAAATAAACGTTGCTCCAAGATAAAATTCTAAGAGGGCTAAAAACCTCTCTACCAAAACTCCGGCATGGTTCATAAAGGACACAGACCCATTGTTTTCTATGCA